ATATGGGATCCTTAAGGCAGGGGGGGCTCTAGGGGATTATATAACCCGATAACCCTTATTCTCCCTCCTTCTCCCTCCTTCTCCCCAAGGCAACCTCAAGGTTCCCTCAGGATTCCTCGTACCGTACCACCTCGACCCATAAGGATCTTGTAGTCTGACCTCTCCACCCAAAGCTCACGCGGTACTATCTTTCCCAATCGTGTTGTCGGTGCTGGAGCTTTGGCGGGTGTGCATGGGGGTGGCAGCTGCAGCAGGAACAGCTGAAGGGATTTTGCACTCCCAACAGCAATCAAACGAACTACTAAAAAAGACACAATCCTTATGGCACAGGCAGCAGTTTCAGCACAGCAACAGCAAACTCATGCACTTGTCGACATATTTGGCAGTCCCAGAAAATTACATGAGCAGCAAAACGGAATGCGGCGGAGGCTTCCAGGTGCGGGTCGGTCTGCTGTTTGCAATAATGGCAATAGTACTAGTGACAGTACTAGTAATAGCAATCGTAACAGTCATGATAATAATACAAGGCTATTGATTGAGCACTTGCAGTTTGCGGCAGGACAGGTATTGAAAATTGTCATTGTCGGGCTCGAATTCTTGGGGCTCGCTTGTGGCTGGCCACTGCGGTATTATGCAAGTAGCATAGTCGCATGGCGTTGTGCGACAAGCTCGTCGGGAATTCCAACTTCGAGGGTCCTTCTTGCAAGGTCCACAATCAGTGGGGAATAAACCTGACAACCATAAGTTTTCCGAATGACTAAGCTCACTCCCGACCAAATAGCATTGGTTTCATCCAGGACCCAAGCCCGGATGAAAACTCGAACTGTCAAGGCCTGAGCCGTAGATGTAAAGCCTAGCCCGAAGCAGCGAATAAATCAATCCCTAAACTCCAACTTCAAACCCCAGTCCAAAACCATAAACCTAACACTCTAGAACCTCAAAGCCCTACAAACCTTATATCCTAGTCCTAGTATCCCCAAACCTTTGCCTGCGGCCAGTCGGAGGCGCCGTTTGACCGAGGTGCGCCCGGACATGTCCTGGTGAGGAGCTTGTGCTCAGGGTTTCTTATAAACCTATCGCGGGGTGGGCACCTCCTGCGCTTTCCAAACTTCCGCATACAACCTACATGTCGAATTGAGGGGTTAGGGTTTCGGGATTGTTTGCTATGTTGACTTTGTTACTTACGTTTTCAGGCTATGAGGAATCTCTCATAGGGACGACGTTGGTACATGTCCATTTCGGAGCGAAGTCGTGCAAACGTTGGGTGGTCTAGTGCAAGAGCCGAGATGAGGAGAGTGTTGGGGCAACAGCAAACAGGAGTGTGTTGACTGCGAGTGCTTGGTGTCTCAGTACTTGCCTTGCCGTACGTGCGTTCATCATGCTGATTGCTGGCACGAACTTATCTGAAAAGCTCACTGCTTCGGCATTGGCATCATGTTTGTCTGGTACGTCTCCGAGGGCTAGGTTGGTCGTAGACACTCGAGCAAAAAGCAAACGGATAGCAGCGAGAGTTGTAACAATTGCGTGAAAGCCGAAGACTGAACTTGTTGCAAAGCCTAAACCCACTCCAATAACGGCAGACCAACATGCTGACTAGCAGACTAGCACTTTCCAAACCCAGACTGACAGCAAACGCCATCTACAGCTTCCCGAGACCAGCTCTTTTCCCGCAAACTCCGACCACCTTCACTGTGAACTGCTATACCTGCCAGAGAAACCTTAAAGCCTCGCACCCTTCTTTCAATCAGAAAGCTTCACGACCCGCCCTCGCACGGTCCTGGCTGCTTGGTTCGCCCGGACTAGGCTTTCTGCATCCGCTGTTGTACTGCTAATTGGGGCACTTGGGCTACGCCTCACTATCCGGTTTTACGATTGAGGTGGAGGGACCAAAACAGGCCGCATCCTAACCTCACCCGCATAATGTGCACTCCAATCTCCATCGAGGGTTCGACATCGGAGGAGTTGAACAATTGCACCTGCAACCCATGCCTTCCCGTGACCATGATGACTCGGGCATTGGCATACCTACGACTCGGCAGACGCAGCCAACCAGAGGCACGGAGGCAGCATGTTGTCATCGCATGTTTTCATTTTAGCTCTGCAGCTAGAGTTGAGGTCTTGAGAACCTCTGCATGAAGGGGAGGATGCTGTAGGGTCATTGGCTCGAAGGCTTGATCACGCGAAACCAGCGAACATCGCACAATTTAATGAAACTTCTAGTGATAGAAACTTAGCCTTACGACTCGTGGTCCGTTGGACCCAAATTACCATCTTGTTCTGCTCCCTTGCGACCGCCTTCAGCTTCCGCTTTTTATCATCAACTCCGCATGTTTAGAGCTTAAGACATCTGCAAAACTGATCTATATATATATATATACATATATATGGTCACCCCCCCCCCCCCCCCCCCAAGATCCACACCCGCCTCTTCCATGCTATTCCACAGCTTGCTTCTCTACATTGATCCACTACTCATATAGGCAGAAAACACCGTAAATACAAATAAAATCGTGCGTTTCGTCATGTGCATCCAAGCCTTGTTGCTACAAGTCGCGGGTTTGATATCTGTAGAAATCTGGAGCCGGATCTCGGCCGGGGATTTATGGTAGTTTATGTGTTGGACAAGCTGAAATGCTGGAGGGCGTGCTAGTTTTGTTCATGTAATACTAAAAAACCTCATGTTTTTTGCATTTTATGGTGTGTTATTTAACAACATTCCTCTAACAATAAAAATACTATTGTCTCTCTTACGAAAACGTCTGCGTGCGTGGGCCATCTCTTTCCCGCTGCTCGTGAAGCGTCCGATTCTGATGCGACCTAATCGCTCTAGCGTTTGATTTATGAGTTACGAAATACAAAGAGCTCCTTTCATGTCCTGTCCATTATACATGAAGGAAGTCGAATATACGGGCGCGTTTATTTTTGAAGCAATACTCCAATAGTTGTTCTTTGCCTCATAAGAAATGGGAAAGCTCCCCTGGAGTTGAAAGGTTCATGCATGTGCATATGCGGGCGCACAAGAAGGCTCGTCTGCAGCAAAAAGTAAGAGAGCTCTTGCAACGGTCCAAACATGAAGCAGGGCTGTTCATACTTATCAAACAAGAGTAATGAAAACCGTTGCTGTTCCAGAAGGCACATAAAACATTACTTCCAGTCCTTGACAACGGTTGAAAGCACCCAATTATCCAGTCCTGGACATCAGAAAACACTGTAATGCTCAAAAAATTCCAAAATTTCCAACCCTGAAACTCACAAAACACTGCAATGCTCAAAAAAATCCAAAAATTCCAAAATTCTGGCATCTATGGCCAGGCCGGTGGCAGATTCCTTAAAAGTTTGGAATTTTTTGAGCATAGCAGTGTTTCGTGCGTTTCAAGGCTTGGAAAAATTGATTTTTTTTGAGCATTACAGTGTTTTGTGAGTTTTAGAGCACGAAACACTGCTATGCTCAAAAAAAGTGGGCTTTGAGGCTGTGAAAAGTTGGTTTTTTTTGAGCATTACAGTGTTTTGTGAGTTTTGGACCACGAAACACTGCTATGCTCAAAAAAAGTGAGCCTTGAGGCTGTGAAAAGCGTATTTTTTTTGAGCATTACAGTGGTTTGTAAGTTTTAAACCACGAAACACTGCTATGCTCAAAAAATTCCAAAATTCCCAACCCTGAAACTCACGAAACACTGTAATGCTCAAAAAATTCCAAAAATTCCAAAATCCTGGCATCTATGGCCAGGCCGGTGACAGATTCCTTAAAAGTTTGGAATTTTTTGAGCATAGCAGTGTTTCGTGCGTTTCAAGGCTTGAAAAAGTTGATTTTTTTTGAGCATTACAGTGTTTCGTGGCTTGAAACTCACAAAACACTGTAATGCTCAAAAAAAACCAACTTTTCACAGCCTCAAAGCCCACTTTTTTTGAGCATAGCAGTGTTTCGTGGTTTAAAACTCACAAAACACTGTAATGCTCAAAAAAATCCACTTTTCATTGCCTCAAAGCTCATGAAACACTGCTATGCTCAAAAAATTCCGAACTTTTAAGGAATCTGCCCCCGGCCTGGCCATAGATGCCAGAATTTTGGAATTTTTGGAATTTTTTGAGCATTACAGTGTTTTGTGAGTTTCAGGGTTGGAAATTTTGGAATTTTTTGAGCATAGCAGTGTTTCGTGGTTTGAAACTCACAAAACAGTGTAATGCTCAAAAAAAATACACTTTTTACAGCCGCCAAGCTCACGAAACACTGCTATGCTCAAAAAATTCCAAACTTTTAAGGAATTTGCCCCCGTCCTGGCCATAGATGCCAGAATTTTGGAATTTTTGGATTTTTTTGAGCATTGCAGTGTTTCGTGAGTTCTGGGGTTGGAAAGTTTGGAATTTTTTGAGCATAGCAGTGTTTCGTGCACCCCATGCCCTAAGAACCACGATGGCGTGGATCTTGGGGGGGGGGCGAGCATATATATATATATATATATATATATGTATATATATATATGTATATATGAATTCAGCCCGGTCTTGTAGCATGCGATTTTCTGCCGCAACCTGCTCAAGCTCTGCGATCTCTTGTGCGAGATCCGTCGCAACGGCCGCCCGCGCGAGCCATTTCCTGCTGACAGCCAGCAATTCTGGAGTTTAGGGCTCTAGCAGGGAAATGGACTCGCAGGACAAACACAACTACGTTGCAAAAACAACCACCGCCCCAACAACATTCACAACCGTACTGATGACCAGGATGATGAGGAATGAACGACAAACACGACAATATCGAACGGCACCACAAAAACACACAAGAATCGTGCACTGACAGTGGTAGTGTTGGTACTGTTGGGTGTCGTCGTAGCAAGCAGCAGAAACAGCAGTAGCAGCAGCAGGAGCAGTGGCCGTGGCAGTAGAAGCCGCAGTAAGAGTAGCAGTGACAGCAAACGGCCGCCATCCTTTCTAGCAAGGTTGGGAGAGGCGCCGCGGCGCCTGAGGCAAACCTGGACCTACACTATGGCCAAGGGCAGCTCAAACTAGCTGAGCTGCTCCAGAGCACCATCTGCAGCGTCTGCAAGTGGCTCGCATCGGGCACACTGGCACCAAAATCCCCACCTGTACCACAAGTGCTGCTGCAAGATTCTTGAGCTTTACTGCAAGCAGTAATTTTGGTGCTAATGGACAACCGTGTGTTGCGGGCTTGAATTCCACCTTAGGCTTGGGTGCGAGTCAGGCTTCAAGGATCAGTTAGGAGATCCTCTGTTTCGCGGGCGCGAATCTCCCAAATACTAGGAGCAGCAGAGCACTGCTAGTCTCGAAACCGCTCCGACCTCCTGCGCGCCGGCCAAACACCCCTTTCACACAGCCCCGCCGGGCAGGGCATTACTGGATGCATGATGCCAGGTCATGACCAAGTTCTTAATCTGATGGCAGCAGAAGTGGCTTCGAATAGAGCTGCTGTCGCACGAAAGCCGCATGCAGAGTCGCGGGACCCACGTCCAGCAGCCTTGTTATCGCCGAAACGTTTATGACAGCTTCGCTGAGAACTCGGTGTCGTGGCAACAGCAGTAGTGATGGCACATCAGCAGATTGCTTTACAACACTTACGCAGTGACTAATGCTTGAAGCTTAGGTCAGGGCCACTACGAGCCTGGCTATCAATACGACTACTACACTTACCATACTAACAACTAGCAACAATGCTGTGACAGCTGGTATGTCGTTTCTAATCGTGGTCTAACTGTAGCTGGCTTATGTTACTCTCAACCAGCTGCAAAGATGAATATGTCCAGTACCTTCCAGTATTGTATGTGAAATACAGACTTGCTTGCTTGACGCCTGCTGATTTGCCTACCTCCATGTGTCTTCTTACATACATAGGATGGATCTGCCAGTGACGAGAATAGTCGAGATGTATCGGATGTTTTGATTTGCAGCAACGAATTAAGGTTGCTCATGTCGACCATCTCACCCGAGCCTGAACCCCACTCACAAAAGCAACCGCAACAGCGTTTCAAACAAATTGCTTAACCGAGTACACCAAGACCGTAGCCTGAAGGCTTTCAGGGGACTTGCGCTTGCGTTGTCGACTGTTGGAGGCGAACGATAATCCCTAATCCCCGCGACAATGGCCCTTATGATGCTTGCCGCTTACGCCTGTCCAAACCAGACGAGCTTTGCGCTGAAAGCCATTGCTGCTACACGGGATCCCAGAAAGCGATCGTCAACATCCCGATTGCACCAACAGCCTAGAGCCCGATAGCAAGGCGTTGTATCACAAATAATCCCCAATCGAATCTCTGCACAACGTCTTGCAAGCATACGAAGCCGCGACACTTTACCCGTCAGCTGAATGCACTCTACAAAGACTGTGCAAGTTCAGGCATCACGGTTTAGTCGAATGTAGCACATCTATGTTTACTGCATTATGTGATCACTCAACACTGCACTGACAGCGAGGAGCTGAGCCGTCAGAAGCAGTCGCTCGGCTGGCAAGCAGCCTGCCTCCTCAAAGTACGAAACACCTGGGCAACATGCTCAACTTCAAGGGCTTTCTCCTTGGGTGAACGATCCGAAAGTGAGTGAGGAATTCTGTGGGCTTTAAGCGGAAGGAACTAGGAGTCAAGGGCCTTGGAGGTAGGCGTGTCGGGAGGTGTGTTAGTTCACCTCTGGGTAGTTCAGCTTCGGGTCCCCTTCGTTGCATCCGCACCGCCGATGAAGCAAATACCCTCCCTGGTCATTCTAGATGAGTTGTCGGGAGACGCTCGAACTAAATAACAAGCAACCGCTTCGACGTGACCATTACTATCGAACTCTCGTGTTATGTGTATAAGCATCTGCATTCTGTTGAAACTAGTTATAAGTACAATCCTTGTCCCTGCTGTTTGCTATGGCGATTGTGCCGCCATGCCTGCAGCCTGAACTTGAAGCACCATGGCTTGCGAAGTCTGAGCTAGGACGAGGGGGTGCACCCCTTTAATGTACGAGTTGAACAAGGCTGTTGGACGTGTTGTACATTCTGCTACACCTTACTGAGCCTTGTGGAGTCCAATGCAGTCACACATCCAGTGGCCAGAAGACTGCACCGACAGCAGTCGGCTAGCCTTGGGATAGCATGTAGACGCATAGTAAGGAGCGCTTCTCACCCATGGTATGTGGTTTGCAAGGACATGGAAACTTAGGGCTTCGGCTTCTTTGTGGTATAGCCCAAAAATTCAGAGCCCCGGCTTAGCCCCTAAACGCTCAAACTGAAAGGTATGAGCAATATGTTCCTCTTAGCCATGCCGCATATCTCCTCACCCTCAGCAACAGGCACGGTGGTGAAGACTCCTCGCATACCTTCTGTGGCCAGACCAGGGCAACGGATCCACAGTTTATCTTGCTTTTGTAGGAGTTCTGGCATAAAGCTTAAAAGCCGGAAGTGATTGGAAACTCCGAATTCATTTGCCGGAGTTCAGAAGTTCTCATGCGAAAAATGTCGGGCAATCGGAACTTGTTGCTTGGGTTCGGAGGTCCTCGTCTTTCTGAGTCTTTGGGGCTTAGGCTGTGCTGGGTTTGCCTTCCTGAAAGGACATGATCGTCTTGTCACCTAGCAGGACAGTTGAGCAGGACGGACGGGTGTGGGGCTCAGTGTGTAGGGTGTTCGAACTGCCGTTCATAGGTTCAGGATCCAACACGTTACAACGAAAGAGTTTCCGAGGTATGCCGATATGTCAACCGATTTGGGTTAATGGGACAAATTTCAGGATGCACGAAAGTGGTTTGGGCATGTTGGACCTCTTGGACAGACTACAGTTACGACTAGGCTAAACAAAACCCTGAACCCCAACCCGTGGCCAGCAGGGCTAGTGCTAAGCTACCTACTCATAAACATGCCACAACCTGCTCTAAGTCGCCATCGAGAACACTACAGGCCCTACATCCTAAAGTTACAAGCCATCCCTGGCTCTTTCAGGCTCAGGGTCGTTGGTGGTCGTCAATTAAAAACTATCCTGTGCCCAGAGTGGATAAGTGTAGGCTGTGAGTCTTGTGAGTTTGGGCTTGCACGCTTCAGGGAATGATTTGGGGCTCGGGGCATAAGACGGAACGAGCGTGTCAACGGAGGTTTCTAGTTCGGCCAGAAGCTTGATGAATTTGGCACAGGTTGAGATATTCGTCTGTTGGAGTAGATTGAGTAGACTTGTTGCTCGTTTGTGCTGGCGGGGCCATGATTTTACGACCTGGGGTTCAGAGTTGAAGGCTGGCTTGCCATCCCGAGCCTTTCAGATTTCTAGGCCTGCTCGATGCCTACATCATCAACCGGAAACTGTTTCCCGGTCGAACCTCTTCCCTGAAGTGGGCTTTCGACGGGAAGCCCCAAATCGCAGACCCGTTCAGCCAGGAGCCCCAAACCCGGCAACCACAAGTTATCGGATCCCAGGTCTCCATGGCCCCTCCCATGATTTGAGCTGGGAGGCTTTCCTCTTGAAGCGCCCGGGCATTGGGACGACAGGAGTGGTTGATCCGCGAGAAGTTTGCAAACACCTCGAGGAGTCTTTGGTAGCACTAAACAGACTCTCTCCCCCAAATCCCCAAACCAACAAACTCGAAACTCTGTCTGGTCTCCAGACAAGCCGAAGTTCATGCAGATGGCTAGTCGGCCAGTCGTAGCTCTACATTGTGTCACTGGCATGTTATATCATCGTCTCACGATGATAGATAGAGAGATAGATGCAGATGGAGGTAAGCGTAAAGGTACAGCGATGGTTGGCGGATGGGTGGATAGATAATAGATAGGTAGATTGTTGTCAAAATTAAGGCCACTTTTTGGGTACCCAGGTGGCTAGTTCGACAGATCGTTAGAGCACTAGATCATTAAAATAGTTAGTCAACAATCAACTATGACGGGCTGACTAACTAACTACAACTAACTTTAACTAACTGACTGACTGACTAACTATAAGTACCTAGGTAGATTGGCTAGTTAGTTATCTAGTCAGTTGGATAGTTAGCTGGTTAGTAGGTTAGCTTGTTAGTTAGCTAGCTAGCTTGTTAGTTGGCTAGCTAGCCGGCTGGTTCGCTCAGTATAGCCAGTCATTTCAAACTAGCTGGTTGTTCTTAGCTAATGTCTATTTGAGCAAGCAGGATCCTGAATTCCTCCTGCCGAGGATCCCTCGCTACGTCGCTGCTTTCCATGGTTACCGCATTGGTGAGCAAGATGCCCGAGATCCTTGGATTCGGGCTTCAGGGCGTGTTAAAGGGCGTTTAAGGGATTCGAGGTTGTTCGGGGAAGAGGGCTGTCAGTGCACGTCTCCCGGGATTAAGGGAGGCCGAGGTGCACGAATGTGCGCGAGCTCATGCTATCCGCAATGGTGACTGCCCGAAGCGAGATGATACTCACAGTCTCGAGATGAGGGTTTAGGCTTAGAAGGGTTTCAAGTTTGCGGGTCGAGAGGAGAGAGTTTAGCGATGAGGGTTGCGGTGTTGCAGGATTTCACATCCTGAACCCGGGACATTGCGGCTCTAGGGCTTTAAACGCAAAGCCCGCGTTTTGACCTTGTGGTAGGAATTATTTCGCCGCCTCAGATGCTCTTCATCTCAGAAGGGTCTGAAGTTACGGGTCGCTGGTCTTACACGGATTGCATGCTTCAGTCTGTGCCGGTCCTTCACCTGATCTCCTGACTCGTGCTGGCACTTGCCGAACGTCTGCTTACAGTGCCTGTGTTGAACCTGAACAGGCAAAGTAACACCCCACAGCGAAACTAACACTCCGACCAACCACAGACCACCCAAACGCAAACCCTCGCACCCTAATCCCTAAACTAGGCCAATCCTGGGCTTGAACGTCCGCAAGCCCGACACAGCCGGAGACAAGTGATGTTGCATAATGCTTGAATTTTGAAGGCAAGTCATTGCATTTCGGGGGTTGGCCGCTTAGAGTTCAGGACAGTGAGGTTTGGCGCTACAACTTGATCCCCGGCAAAGTGGCGTCTTCTGGGACAGCACCTGGATGTCCTCCGTAGAGCACTCTAGCACCTCGCCGCGGCATTGGATCACCACCAAGTCCCCTCTGACTTCGAGCACCGCGCCTGGGCTTTCCAAACGGCCGCAAGATCTATCTGCTGAGCCTCCCTCTCTCTGAAGCCCAGAACTTTATCCGGTGATTGGGAACCTGCGCTAAATCGTCCTTGGTTGAGGGCCCCGTTGTAAGCAACTCAGGACCCTGGGCTTCCACTGCTCCAGGACTTGGGAATGCTGTGTTTAGCGGGCCCCATGTGAGATGGTGTTCCTTATCATCCGAGCAATTTTGAAAGCCTTTTGACAAGAGGATCAACGTGGGAGTTTCCGGTAATAGGGGACCTGAATATAATACCCCAAATAGTAGGATCCTCACTATAAGGACCCCCAAAATAAGGTACCCCCTGCTATTCGGAAACTCCCACATGGGGCCTAGAGGGCCTGTCGACTTCACAGGGTTGAACCAGACCAGGTGCTGTAGGTTAATATATACTCAATATATAGCCCATTATAGGGTAAGGGTCCCCATTAAGGGTCCCTCCTTTTCCCCTTTGAAGGTTGAGTGATCACAAGATATGGATTCTATGCGAACATGCTTGAGAATTGAGGCTCCCATATTTGATAGCATGTCTACTTCCATTTGCGCCAAGGGTCAAGATTTCCGAGTCAGTAAAGGCGTGCCCCAGGGCTGAACCCCAAACCTTCGTAAACTATATCGTTGAAAAATTCAGACGCCACTTCCCATGCTGGAGTGACTAGGTGCGGTCTCTCTGAAACGTACCATGATTGTTGGCTTCATTGCGACTTCATCCATATTCATGGAGACTATGTGCAAGAGGCATATGGGCTACGACACTACCAGTATGCTACAGTATGCTGACAGTGACAGCACAACAAGCACCACATCGGCATCAAGGATTCGGTACGAAAGGGCCCTTGTTTTCAAGGTCCGAAGGATTTCTGCTTCTGATGTTGGATTTCGGGGATTTCAATCCTAGTTGCTCGGAGAAAGGATACCTTCTGAAACTCATGCTTTGACATTGAGTACCATCACTTACCATTTGGGCACCAGGCTTGTCGCATCAACTAGACACGGCTACTTCTTGCTAAATTTCCCATACTTCTCATACATGCTTGTGCCGATCTTATGAAGTGTCGATGCTCTTGCATCAAAGGCAAGTCTCAGGATTGCAAGGAGATACCAAGCCCTAAACCGCAGATCCGCAGCTCGAGGCTCTAGACCGACTCTCAAAGCCTGAAGTCCGCACTGTAGACTTTGAAACCATGCATTGCCAGCACTCTTATGTATATATATATATATATATATATATATATATATATCCAAGCCACCTTGGCAGCTCCTTGGTGCAAGTGCCACGAATCACTGGAACCCCACTCCAATCTTGAAGAATGTCTGGATGCTAACATAAGCCACGGGGAAAGGTTAGTCGACCTCAGCGCATATTCAAACGAAGTTCGGATAGTAGCAATAGGAAAGCTTGGCAACCGCAAAGCATGCGTGCATGCATACATACACTAGCTCATTAAGTACATGCTGGTGAGAGGATTTGAGACTCCGAGGCTACATTGAAGAAGCTTCTGCTGCTCATCTTCGGCCATGATTCTGAAGATGCGTATGTGTCGGAGGAACATCCTGCAGCGCGGTACGAGGTTGGAGTGGCTGACACCCTGTGCGGGAGCTTCTGCACGGATCCCTGAACATCCTCAAATAAGTGTCCAAGACTTTGGTGTCGTATTGAACCTCCCATGCACCAAGCAAGGGATGCCTTTGAATATCCCAAAGCTCCACTTTAACGGCTGCTGGTCTCTGGGGGACTTTTTCGCAACTACAAGTAATCATTACTGCCTCTCAAACTGAAACAAATGCCAGCGAAATTTGAATTCCTCTCATGGTTTATGCAAGGCCTACCACGCTACAGTTTACGTGTTCTGAAGCTTTGAAGAAGTGCAAACGCCCAAACACACCTTCGAAGAAACGTGTTTTTGACATGCATGTGGAATCCTGACCCAATCGGCAAAGCAAAAACCAATGACAGTTGACATCCTGACTTTTCTCCTACATCCCCTACATCCCCCGCGAACTGCTGAGTAGGAGCACGTTTGCTTCACATTCCGTGTCTGTACACATACACATAATAGTTGGCCTGGTCTACGCCACCCCCAAGCCCAAACGAGCAACAGCTGTTCGACTGGATTGAGCCACCTGAGCGAGAAATCCAAACAAATTCCGAAAATCCCCCAGCACTCCACAACTCATCCCTAAAATGTCCGCCCGTGTTGTCTTCACGCCTTCAGACGCGCCCAAGAGCCAGCCCGAAGCTTCGGTTCCAAGAAGGCGTCCTCCAACTCGAGGAACTCCTCGGGTCGGGAACTAAAGCTCAAGGGCTCCTGGGCGGTTCAGGGAGCCTTGGAGAAGGGGTATCGGTTTTGGGTTTCCCCAATCGTCTTACAGGACTTTGGGCACATGTCTGCATCTTTGACTCATGTTAGACTGGATAAAGTACCGGTGGCACTACTTAATGCAAACGATGCAAGCAAGCTAGATGAGCCAGTCGCTCCAGGCGAAGCCTAAGTATGCTTCTTGTCGGCTTGTGCGTGGGGTATGGGACTCATCAGCAGACGTGTGTTGCGCGTGCTTCATTGCAAATGGGCATGGGTATACACTGTCTGTACAAAGCAACGGGCATTGTCCCACAAACAGCCTCCTAAACAATTTTGGGTATCGTTAAGGTTTCTTTCGGGGTCTCGTTTTAGACCACCCACAGTTCACCAACAACCTGACTGTTCAGTCGATGGTCGCTCTCTCTACGTTAACCTGCAGTAGTAGAAGCAAGAGTAGTAGAAGAAGAAGTAGTAGTAGGAGGAGCAGGAGCAGGAGCAGCAGTAGCAGTAGTAGTAGTAGTAGTAGTAGTAGTAGTAGTAGTTGTAGTAGTAGTAGTAGTAGTAGTAGTAGTAGTAGTAGTAGTAGTACTAGTACTAGTAATACTAGTAGCAGCAGTAGTAGTAGTAGTAGTAGTAGTAGTAGTAGTAGTAGTAGTAGCAGTAGCAGTACCATTTTCCGTAACAGTATCAGTACCAGTACCACTGGTTGCAGTACTGGTACTAGTGCGAGTAGCCGCAGACATCCTCGACATGATTTTCTTGAGCTATTGGTCTTCAAGCTGAGGGCATCGTTTTGGGGTTCCCCCTATCGTTTTCCAACACTTCAGAGCATTGACCTAAGCAAGGCCCTCCTGCAGACTAGACTAGTCTTCGGAGACATTTACTGTTTACCACCGCAAATGAACCGAACACCCGAGATCCCACACCGTAGGCCGCGAAATCCAAAGCTCCATAAGCTCCCTCCCTTCGATCTACGCAAAGACTGAGGCAAGAACCAGACGCTGTCTCGGCGTGGCAGCTTCCAAGGCATCTGCACAGGCCTGCAACGAAAGGTTCAGTGCGTTGGGGGCTTAGGAGTTTACTCGGGAAGGTGAACACCAGTACATGTAGCACATCTTGTGGATTATCGAGGTCTGAACGGTAGCAACAGGGTTTTGCTTGGAAAGGTCAGTGGACGAAGGAACACAGCTGCCACAAGGTGGTGCGGAGCAGTTTCGTCGACTAGACACGACGCAGTATACTTCTGCCTTCTCTCCAGTTGCCGTGACCTGCAATAATCAAGCAGTTGTCAAAAAGCTACATTATCGTTGTCGCTTCCACTTCCGCATCTCTGCTGTCGCGAGGGAGCGAAACAGGACGCAGAACAGCGGCTTTGAATATCTAATGTCGTGACCAAGCTTGCAGCCCCAAACACTCGCAACTCTGCCAAAAAGCCCCGACAGAGTGAGCTGAGCAATGCGAAGGTTGTTGGCGCACTTGTTATGTTATAGAGGGCCCTGGCTGGCCTGCACGATGTGGGCGTCTTCAGCACACAGTCGATTGAGAGCCTAATGCTCCAAGCCGCCAAAGTCTGAAATTCATGCCTTCCACCGACTGGGAACTCCTAGCCTCGGATTTATGAATCTGACTCAGGGTCTGCTGAGAAGTTACGGCAAGAACTCCAGGCTTTGGTCAAACGGTCAAACCGCCTTCGCCTGAACCCCGCCTCAGGGCATTGAGCAGTGTCCTGACGTTTCAAAAGGTCTTGCTCAGCGGCTTGATTTCGAGGACGTGAGGCATGAAACGGCCACCCCTTTCACTTGCGGACCAACCTGACGGCTTCATACCCAAGCTTGCTTTCAGTCCAACAGCTAGCACTTCCCTAAGACTATCTTCGACAGGCCGCAGCCCGAAGCTCGATGCACACCCGCATCCTAAAATCCTCGGAAGCCACGTTGCGCGCATGCTCTCGCTGCGCAACGTCCTGGTGGCGGCCGCAGGCAAGTAGCGTTTGTGCGTTGGTTCATGTGGGATTTTGACTGGGTCCATCTATGTAAGGCCTTGTGCTCGGAAGGTATAGGGTAACGAGAAGGTTGGGGGTCCGCTTGAACGCTTGAGTAGCACAAAGTTAACACCTTGGTGGAAAGGCGGCAAAGCAGGCGTTGAGCAGGGTGCCTCCGAGTAGGGATGTTTAGGGTTAGGTGCCTATAGAGCCGAGGGGGACAAACAGCACGGCACGGCCGCAAAGTCCTCTGACAGACCGACACCCAAGCATCAACCAACACACGAAATGAAGGGTCCAACCGGGCTCAGGCAAACACTTCCGCAAACGACGGAAGTACAGTAAATACTAAATACTGAATCAAGCCCTAAATCGCCAAAACCTACACTGAATTCTCTACCTTCTCAACCGACAACCCCCCAATCCTGAACCCAAAGCCCCAAACACGGAACATGCTAAACTCAAACCATTCAACTCGAAGCTTCAAAGCTTCGAGCCTGGACAGTGCTGGATAGGCATTGGCTGTCTCGGCGCGGAGTGCTTCCAGGTTTGGCACGGACCTTCATTTTAAGGTCAGGTCCTCGTTGGCTGTTTTGTCTCCAATGTTTCATGGGTGTAGCAACTAAACTGTGCAGCATTAGGGTCAAGGGTCAAGGATTTACACCATGTGCGCCTTGCATGTCACTGTGGGTGCAGGGTATGGAAGTACTTTTGCGACTTTAGGGCTTACAGGTTTGGCATTTAGGCTCCTGTCAGTGCTTCGAGGATCGCAACAGAACGCTTTTCGGGACTGCGGGAGTGTAGCAAACTTTGGGCCATGGGGCTTGCGGCTTGCGGGATTCAGCTGGAGCTAGTGTTATGGCCATCAGGAAGCAGGGTATTGCCACACAAGGATGAAAATTACAACGCTTATCGATGAGGCTCGGCAAAGCGTTAACAAGCTTGAAGCTCATTGGAGCAAGCATATCTCAAGAGGTTTGCAGTGGTGCTTCGCCAAGGGGTTTGGGACTGAGACATATTATCGGGCATCCAAAACCTCACCCTTTAGGTTACCCATATAGGGATTGCATAGCATATGGCTTGGAGATTGCGGAGCGCAGACGGCAGGAACCCACACGAATCCCCTCAGTTCAAGTTCAGGGTCTGGGCTCTATAGACGCCAAGTACCGAGCACTATCCCACATTCACCTTGAACCGCAACATGTCTTCAAGTGCCAACCCCGACACAACAGTTATCCAAATCACCACTATTCAAAACCTCCCTGCCATGAGTCCCTGCATTCCTTTTCAGGTCGTACGTTGTATACACTTATACTATGAAGTATGCAGAGATTCTCGGGAAACTCGGATGGCTAGCTCGT